GGAGGAGTTAAGTTAGGATTTAGGATGGGAAAATGATTTTGGTCCATGTGAGTTATGGGTCCAACCCATTGGCTAAAATGGATATAATGAAGGTTGTTTAGAGTATTTAAATCTCACATTAATGATTTTTGTGAGTTATTAGTGGTTGGAGACCATTACTATCCAAAATTAGGAAAAAAAATAAGGTTGTTAGGAGTTATTGATGGCTATTAATAGTGATTTAATGGCTCATTAGTGACATTATGAGTCACTGAAATCTAGTATGCTCATTAGGTATGATGGGTAGTGAATTTATGATATTTATAAAGGGGAGAATGTGGAGTTACAATGGTGAAACTACCAAAAATGGGGGTAATAATGTTATCCTTATGATATGATTGTAAAGTAACCTGTTTGGTATCATTCAAGCTTAGGAAGAAGTTTGGAAGTGGTTATTTTGAGGGTAAATTTTTGACTTCTCAAAGGTTTGAGAGAACTAAGGAAAAATCTTATTTGTATAATTGTAATGTTAATTGTTTGTTTGTTGAATTAAACTATTTGAAAATTATTTGGGTGCTTGAGAACCCTAGATGTAAATGTTAGCAATGTGATGCACAATGGTGTTAGTTTGTGTGGGATTATTGAGGATAGTATGCATGAATTCACATATTACCAATGATAGTGCATATGTACATGCATTTGTGAAAATAGATAACATATGATATTGGGCATGTGAAAATAGGTATTATATGATGGAGGATATGGTTGTGGATATAGGATATGACATGATTGGTAGTAGAATTGCATAATATATGTTAATACTTGTATAGCATGATCATTTGGCGAGTGTTTGCCTACAAGGAGAGGAGTGGATTGGTAAATCTACGTGGTAATGGCAGGCTACCATTGGAATCAAAAGCTTACTTATGCAGCGACCATTGAAATTGGGAGGTGGCCATTATCCCATGGTTGATTCAAGATTGTCCCACTTATTTTTAAGGGACTTGAATCTAACTAGTCTCCATCAATTCATGAGGAGGCTATATTAGGGGAATGATACCCTGTGGTTATTAGTATTGGGGGAAAACTGTGGTACATAAGTGAGTAAGTTAACTCTAGCCCAGTAGCTCCTCACAAGTGGGAAAACTAAATTAGTTTGAGTTACGGATGTAGCCACTAATAGCAACGGTTTCATGTCGAAGTAACAGGAGGATATAAGGTTGGCATTAATCAAGTATTTTGTTTCGACCATATGGTTGTTATTATTGTAGTCTGGTGTGTTTTAGGGGTATATGGTTGTTCTTTTTGCAATCCCATAATGTGCATAATTGAAATATATGATGATATGTATTGTATGCTCGGTCACATAGTTGTTATTGTTGTGGCCGAGGTTATACTTGCCATATGTGCATGATATATGTATTTATTGCCATTTGTATATATATTTAGTTGATATGCAACTGTATAGATTAAGTTAATCTTGGTACTAAGTGATTGTACTCACTCCTCATTCTTCAATATTTTCAGGGCCTAACTCATGTGATCCTAATTAGGGAAAACAATCAGAGGCATAGATTCTGAGTAAATCTTATTAGTAGGCCTTTTAGATTTATTTTATGTATATTTTGATGTTAACTTGCCAAATATGATTCATTCCATTATTTTTTACTACTGGCATTATCATTGTGAAAATTATGTATATTTTATGGCCTAAGTTAGTATGATGTGGTTGTAAAGTTTGTATAGACCTAAATACTAATGTAAGTAGGATAAAGTGTATTTTGGTTGTTTTGGGATGAATATTTGATGATTTATGCAAAGTTTTCCTCCCTCTTGTGTTTTTGTGAATCAAGGGGTTAAGAGTTGGATTAATGATATGTGTGTATTTGAATGGGTGTGGTGTGTGTTGCATGAGTCCAAAATGGTCCATTGAGTGTGCTCTAAATGTTGGTATAAGCTTTTGGCACATGTGTGAGAGTTTGAACACCCTAGTTGTGTGTATTTGTGAAAAAGGGGTGAAATTGGTATTGGATGTCCAACTTTTGATAGACAATAATTTGGTTAGGAAGCTTGTGTCATTAGCTAGAGTTAGAAAAAAACTCTCTATAGACACTTAGATTACTTTAATCAGATGTCGAATAAAGATTTAGAATGTGTCAAAAGATTGTTTCTTATGTTGTCAATTTGATAGCAAATTGCTGTCAAACTCGTCTAATGCGTCGCGGTGCATGGCACAAAGACATACACACCACAGTGCATGAGTGCTTAACCGCGATGCACATGTAGTTTTCCACACAGTTCACTGTTTTAAGTTTTTTGCACATGTTTTGATTCTTTCTTGATTCCCATGCTTTTGCAAACGTTTTAAACTTTGATTTGAGATTATGAAAGTATATGGGATCATTTTAATTGTGAAAATTTAGTAATCTTTTTTAGGTTAGATCTTTGATTACTATGGATTTGGTGATTAATTGTGTTATATAAGGGCAACCTTACATAATTAATGATTTTTGTCAAAAAAAAAACCCTTATTGATTGTATAATTAAAAAGGTTTTTTAATTAAGATACTTTATTAAATAGGGATAAATATGAAAAAAAAATTATGTAATTTTAATAACAATTAACTAATTTATTAGAGGTATGATTTGATAAAAAAAATTTCTTATAATATTGAACGAGAGAGTATTAGTTTTATATGGCAAATTGACCATTATCCTTGCCATGTGAATGTCTATATAGACCAATTTGGGTTACGAGCATTATAGTTTACTTCATCATAGCAACATAAATTGTTTGATTAAATACATCCTAATTTTATACTACCTTTATTGTTTTAAATATAAGGCATTTTTATTATTTTAAGTATAATTAATGTGTTTTTTTAAGTGCTCATAATAAAAAAATTACTTTATATTTATTTTAAAATGAAACACTATAAAATAATGATAAATATGAAAAAATTATGTTAGTTTGAAAATAATTAACTATTTTATTGGAAACAATATTTGATTAAAAATATCTTATAACTTTTAATGAAAGGAATATATTTTTAATCTAATTTTTTATCTCTAGATAAGAGACTTCTTCCTCTAATAGCTATTATGCATAATTTGGCGGTACGAGATACAAGATAGTGAATCAAAAATCTATAATAATAACATCATATTATATTTAATTGTTAGAAACTTATAATATATTAAGAGAAATTTTTAAGTAGACCAATCTACCATGTCATCTTATAGATTGGCCAATCAAAATATAACAATTTATCTTGTTTTAATCCTAGTTGAAAATTTCTAATTTTATTTTATGAGGAACAAGAATATTTTGTGCTGCAAGAAGACGGGAACGAGTTTTGATGGAGAAGAGATGAGAGAATCAAAATAAAATAAAATATATTTAGAAATTTTCAACTAGGACTAAAACTAAATGAATTGTTATATTTTGATTGGTCAATCCATAATAAAATAGTGGGTTGGATCAATCTAAAAACTATACTGATTATATATAGTTCTAATTTATCTCAATTTTATTTGGTCATCTGTTTTTGTTTCAACCTTTTTAATTCATCCCACTAAACACTAAACTTCTCTCTCCCTATTAATACAACATGAAAAAAAAAGGAAAAATTAATTTAGTCCTCCAACTTTTAATTTATTTATAACTCAGTCCTTCAATTATGACTCGCTGTGATTCAGTCTCTCAACTATGACTAGCTTATGACTCAGTCCCTCAACTTTTGAATCACTTACAAATTAGTTCCTGAACTTTTTTTTTTCATGTTAGCTTATATTTCACATCAATGAGCAAGAGAAGGGTATTTTAGAATAATATATGAACATTTTTTATCCCTCTTATTTGATAAAAAATTTTAAAAAAATTAAAAAAATAAGGACCAAATTATAGGTGAATCGAAAATGAGGGATTGAGTACAGCGAGTTATAATTGAGGGATCGACTTACAAGTGAGAAAAGTTGAAGGATTAAAAATTATTTTTTTTTAAAAAAAACTCTAAACCTTTTAATTTATCTCTTAATATTAATTTAAACTAAATTATGGACTAGTGCTTTGTACAACAGTTTATCGGCTATACATACCCTATAACGTATAAGGCTTGTTTTGTTTCCGACTTAAAAAAACAATTTTTGTAGGCAGTTTAAAAATTTTGAATCCATTTAGTTAAGATTTAAAAATAAATAATTTTTAAGTATTTTAAAAATTTTATAAAAATATATTTAAATTAATACAATTTCATATCAGTTTATATTATCATATATAAAATATATAGTGTATTGATTTTTTTTTTTTGGCCAAATATAGCCCAAAATTTAACATAGATTTATCTCATTACTAATATTAACTTATAAAAACACATTTAGTTATAGAATACTCTTTTGATTATATTTATAGGGTAAAAAGAGAATATTTATTTTAATCCTATTTATAAGGATACTTCAATAATTATTATGTCTATTTTTACTCTTTTACCTTTATTAAATGTCAGAATTGTTATTAAATATAAAAGTATTTTATTTTTAAAGTATGTATATTTAATAAAGTAAAATTAAAATTTTTAAGATAGAGTTAAAGAGGTTGAATTTCTTTTTTAAGTTCTAGTAAAAATACTAAAAATAAGTTATAAATAGAACAAAAGAATATTAATTAACAATTTCATTATTAATATTATTACTATAAATATTAAATTTAATAAATCCAAAATATACATAGTTTACCCCCAAAAAAAAATCATAGGTCCCTAAATCATTAAAAATATATGCAATTACTTAAATGCCCTCCTTACAAAACCAAAATTTATAAGCTAATTTCACTGCAAGTGACTCTTTTGTGGAGGTCACAAAGCAAAGCTCAACCAAATAGCAGATCCTTTTTCATTTTATTATTGCTATTATTATTATTGTTATTATATATATATATATATATATATATTATATATTATATTTATTTATTTAATACAAATTCCGAAGCTCCCTTGAATACAAAGCAAAACCCAAGGCAAAACCCTCCCTTTTAATACTCTCCTCCGCCCTGAGCCTCCCTGGTCAGTAGCTCCGAGAAATTGAGTCATGGCGCAGTCTCTGGAGCTACTGCTTATACAATTCTTGATGCCTGACAATGATGCTCGGCGTCAGGCTGAGGACCAAATTAAGCGACTTTCTAAGGATCCTCAAGTGGTTCCGGCTTTGGTTCAGCATCTCCGCACTGCCAAGACCCCCAATGTCCGCCAACTCGCCGCCGTGCTGCTTCGCAAGAAGATCACCGGTCATTGGGCCAAGCTCTCTCCCCAGCTTAAACAGCTTGTTAAGCAGTCCCTTATTGAGAGCATTACAATGGAGCACAGGTATTCATCGGCCTGATTACCACTTTCTGTTCCTTGCTTGATTGGAACTTTATTGATCCTCTAGTGTACGGCTACTTGGGTAATTGAATTGTGTTCGTTTCCGGAAAGTTTCCGATGGAACATATGCTCAGTGTTTGAAATTTGACTTCAATTTTTTGGTATTCCTTTTGCAAAAACGAGAGCTTTTTGCTGAAAGTAATAAGTTTGGCTTAAAAAAGCCAATCTCAGTTAGCTTCATGCTATCTGCTAAGTTGATTGAAACCGCCAATTGATGTTCAATGGAGTTTGATGTCTGGTCAATCAACAGTAAACAGTAAGGAAAATTATGATCATATCTTTTTCTTGAGCAAGTCACTTGATTTCATTTTTATTGAAGTCAATGGAGAGGGAGAGGGACTGAGGCTCTTCCTCGGGCAATTCCTGAGGATAGGTTTCCTGGATTTGTTATATGGCATAGGTTGAAAAAGTTAGTCTATTATCTAATTTTTATTGGTGATAGTAAAACTAGGATTAGTTCACTCTTCTTTTTTCTTTTGGCCATATCTTCTTAACATTCTTATAATGTAATGTGTTGAAGCATGACGAGCTATCATGATTTCTTGTCATTCATGGCAATCATGAAGCATAGTATATATTCACTTTTCTTATGATGATCTCATATTATAATACGCAGTCCTCCTGTAAGGAAAGCAAGTGCTAATGTAGTGAGTATTGTAGCAAAGTACGCTGTTCCAGCTGGTGAGTGGCCTGATTTATTGCCCTTTCTGTTCCAATGCAGTCAAAGTGCACAGGAAGACCATAGAGAAGTAAGTTCATGACACTGAAAAGTCACACGGTTTTGTTTTTCTTGTGTGGCCATGGCGTTTTCTTGCTGTTGGTTGTTACCACCCTCTACTTCTGCTTCAAGTCCAGATACAACATTTTCCTCAGACAGTCTTCCATATGCCATATAGACATCTTTAATGACAATCACGGCCTAGGATGTTATCATACTAACCTCATTGATTGGATATTATATCTTGTTATTCACTTAGTTAAGACATTTTGTGATTTGGTATTATAGACTCAAAATCATAACCATTATAAACTTGTAATGAAATGTGAATGCCACTAGGACCTTAGAAGAGATGATTTTACATGGTACAGGTATATGAAAAGTCTACAAGGTTTCCCCTTGCAACTTGCTGAGTTTGTGGGATGTAAAATCAAGGCTAGATGGGGCTACCCATGTTACATTTCTTTGATCTTCTTAATGATACCTGTTAGTTCATTATCAGTTTTTGCAATGATCATCAGATCATATGGTGAGTCTGGTGAACTTAGTTGAAAGAACCCATCTAAAGTATGTTTCTTATTAAGAGGAGATGCGCTTTTTGCATGTAGAATTATAAAATCTTCAAGTAATATGCGCATGATTCCTCACAAGTTCACAGATTACCATTAGACTCTATATCTATAATGATTAATTTTACTCCTCAGGGCACGGTCTCAATTGCCATTATATCACACATTTAAGTACAGACTATAAAGTCAAGAAAAATGGTTATGGTCTCTATTTCATTTAGTTTTTTTTTTTTTAAGTCCTCTAACTATTAGATAGTAGCCTAAAAGTTTCCTTATAATGTACATATTCCTGTTTGTTGAACTAATATCTAACAAAATGCCATGCTTTTGGAATATAAGGTGGCATTGATTCTTTTCAGTTCTTTAACTGAAACAATTGGGAACACATTTCGGCCACGTTTTGCAGATCTGCAGGCACTTCTACTCAAGTGCTTGCAAGATGAGACTAGCAACCGTGTTCGAGTTGCTGCACTCAAGTAAGTTAATATTCATGTTTGGTGTTTTTACAGTTGCTTAAAACAGTTACAATAATTTCCCATTGTTCCTTACCAAGATCTGTGCTTGCCTTGTTAGGGCGGTGGGATCTTTTCTAGAATTCACTCATGATGGGGATGAAGTGGTGAGTATGTACTGTTCATTTACTGTGGAAATCTTCTGTAAAATTTAAAAAAAGATAAAAAATGTAATTGGGATTTATATTGCTATAATTGTTACTTGTTTACAAACTCTAATTAATCATCTGCAGCTTGATATTGCATATTTCTCATTTTTGCTGACTTAAACTTTGTGTTGTACAGGTTAAGTTTCGTGAGTTTATACCCAGCATCCTGAATGTATCACGGCAGTGCCTGGCCTCAGGAGAAGAAGATGTAGCTATAATTGCTTTTGAAATTTTTGATGAGCTGATAGAATCTCCTGCACCTCTTCTTGGAGAATCAGTCAAATCCATAGTGCAGTTCTCCCTTGAGGTTTGCTCAAGTCAGAATTTGGAATCTAACACACGTCATCAGGTGGGATGGGATCACAAATTTTTTTGCCATGTCTTTTGCCCTCTTCCATTTAATCATTATTCTCACTTATTTGTTCCATGTAACAGGCCATCCAGATTATTTCCTGGCTGGCAAAATACAAGTCTAATACTTTGAAAAAACATAAGCTTGTCATCCCCATTCTGCAAGTTTTATGCCCTTTGCTTGCTGAATCAACAAATGAGAATCTAGATGATGATCTTGCACCAGATCGAGCTGCTGCTGAAGTTATTGATACTATGGCTTTGAACCTCTCAAAGCATGTTTTTCCACCAGTTTTTGAATTTGCTTCTGTAAGCTATCAAAATGCAAACCCAAAGTTTCGGGAAGCTTCTGTTACTGCTTTAGGTGTTATTTCAGAAGGTTGTTTGGAGCTTATGAAAAATAAGCTCGAACCTGTTCTCCATATTGTCCTGGGAGCTCTGAGGGATCCTGAACAGATGGTGAGAGGGGCAGCTTCATTTGCTTTGGGTCAGTTTGCTGAGCACTTGCAGCCTGAAATTGTATCCCATTATGAAAGTGTTCTTCCTTGCATCTTGAATGCCCTTGAGGATGCATCTGATGAAGTAAAGGTACACATTGGAAGCAATAATGATTCGTTCTTGGATCATCTGCATGTTGTTTGAGTATTTTACTTCCATGTCAAGCAGGAGAAATCATATTATGCTTTGGCTGCATTTTGTGAGAACATGGGTGAGGAAATCCTTCCTTTTCTAGATCCTTTGATGGGAAGACTGTTGGGAGCTCTTCAAAATAGTTCTCGAAATTTGCAGGAGACATGCATGGTATGGCAACGTTTCAGTAAAGATTTAGCTATTGGTTTATTGTTTTTGTATTAATTTGATTTTTCTGCTGGACTCCCTTTGCACTTTGCAGTCTGCAATTGGTTCCATTGCATCTGCTGCTGAGCAAGCATTCATTCCTTATGCTGAAAGGGTTTTAGAGTTGATGAAAAACTTCATGGTTTTGACTAATGATGAAGATCTTTGTGCACGTGCAAGAGCTACTGAGCTGGTTGGAATTGTTGCAATGTCTGTAGGGAAAATGAGAATGGAAGCCAATATTACCTGCTTATATAGAAGCTGCAATATCTGTAATTGCCTTAAATACTCAACATTTGACTCTCGTCACTTTCCATGTCCCTGGAGTTATTGATTTGTTTCTATTTCATTCAGGGTTTTGGACTTGAGTTCAGTGAGCTTAGGGAATACACCCATGGGTTTTTCAGTAATGTCGCAGAGATTTTGGATGACAGTTTTGCACAGGTATGCACAGATTAGTTCATTTACATATTTCCTATCTCTGACCTTAATCTGAAAGCCAAATTTTGTAATGGATATGCAGTATCTTCCTCACGTTGTGCCTCTTGCATTCTCTTCCTGCAATTTGGATGATGGCTCGGCAGTGGACATTGATGATTCTGATGATGAGAATGCCAATGGATTTGGAGGAGTTTCATCTGATGATGAAGCTCATGATGAGCCAAGAGTTCGAAACATAAGTATTAGAACTGGAGTTTTAGATGAAAAGGCAGCTGCAACTCAAGCCCTTGGCCTATTTGCACATCATTCAAAAAGTGCTTATGCTCCGTATCCTTTAAATATTTTACCTTTCCTTTCAAAAGTACATGGTTCACCACACTATCAATTTTAAATCAGATGATCATGAATTCTTTAATTAACTTAAGTTACTTGGAGGAGACGCTAAGAATCTTGGTGAAACACTCTGGCTATTTTCACGAAGATGTTAGACTTCAGGCAGTCATTGCTTTAAAATGTAAGTAAATTCTTTCTGAAAGCTGTTTTGTTTCAGATAGCATGTATGCATTCTACTTATTCTGTTTTTCTGTTCAATCATGTGTTTTTCATGCTTGGCACAATCATGGTGCTTACCTTAATAATTTCTTGTTGATTTAACTCAAAATGCATTTCATCACGGGCAGTACTTCCTGAATGATGAAGAATCTCTTTCCCTAGAGTTCCAAATGGAAAACGGAAGTAAAGATATATTACAGTGGATGTATGCCCTTTCTTTCTTGTTTGAACATGAACATGATGGGGACTTGGTAGTATGGGATATCAAGTCCCACAGTGAGTAGTATAAGATGCTCAATAGGGTATATAAGTGGGTTGGTTCTCCCACTTCAACAGCTACTTTTTGGGATAGGGTTTCCCATCCCACTTAGGTACCCATCAATTGGTATCAGAGCCTCGTTGTCGGTGGTTCTGGAGAGGGCTACCTACAGAGGGTTCTGACCGGAAAAAGACCGAGTTAAGTGCTGTGGATTGCAGTTGTCAGGACGTCGGCTTTCCATGGAGGGTCAATTGATGGAGACTTGGTGGTATGGGATGTCAAGTCCCACATTGAATAGTATGGGATGCTCAATGGAGTATATAAGTGGGTTGCTTCCCTACTTCAACAGCTAGCTTTTGGGGTAGGGTTTCCCATTCCACTTAGGTACCCATCAGAAAACCTTGCATGTTTTTTCATGCCAATTTGTAGATGAGTTGATGGTTTTTTCTTTATTACTTTGGTTCTAAAATTTCTCAGTTTGTTCTTATAATTTATTAAAAACATGAAATGCTGATGCAAATTTAATTTTACTGCAGATATTTTGACTGCTGCACATGCAATCTTCCAAAGTCAAAATGTAAGTCTGCATTATTACCTCCATTTTATTTTCACTTTTTCTTCCATTAGGATGATGATTTGTATGCTTAATCTCTTGGTTTCCTGTCCCTGTTTTTTATCCTCTGCATTTTTGTAATTCTAGGATTGTAACACTATTTTAGTCATCATTTTGATTTTACTATCAATGTTTTTGTTTGTCAATATGTGTAATGACTGGACAATGTACAAAAATATAATTATTCTCATTATGCTTCAATCTTTCTTTTATTATAAGAAAACTTGCTTTCAGTTTTACAGCGATAATAACTCATTTGCTTTTCAGGAAGGAGCAGCAAAAGCAAAAGAAGTTCTTGGTAAAAGCCTAAATTGGTGTATTTGTATTTTTTATCTTTTCATTATCATGATTCCTTTTATTAATGTAATTATCTCAACTTTTTTTAATTCTACAGATGCTGTGATGAATATTTACATCAAGGCTATGATTGAAGATGATGATAAAGAAGTGGTTTCTCAAGCCTGCACGAGCATAGCTGATATAATTAGAGATTATGGTTATTCAACTCTTGAGCCTTGTAAGCACGCATTTAATTGGTTATTTTAAACCTACGTTTCTTTTTTTTTTTTAAAAAAAAAAGAACTGTCATTTAAATCCATATGCTGATGCTAACAAGATATTTGCTTTTGCTCATTTTAGACTTGCCCCAGCTTGTTGAAGCAACTTTGTTGTTGCTTCGGGAAGAATCTGCTTGTCAGACAGTAGAATCTGACAGTGAAATTGATGATGATGATAGTGAGCATGATGAAGTGCTTATGGATGCAGTTTCTGATCTTTTGCCTGCATTTGCAAAGTCCATGGGTTCTCAATTTGCTCCCATCTTTGCTCAGCTCTTTGAACCTTTAATGAAATTTGCTGTGAGTTAGAGATCTAGAAAATTTCATTCTCTGTCGCTCTCTCCTCTCTCACTCACACTCACATTTAATAATAAGGTATCAGTTATAAACCTTGTACTCACTGTAAAATGCAGAAAGCTTCCCGTCCACCTCAAGATAGAACCATGGTAGTTGCTTGCCTGGCTGAAGTGGCTCAAAACATGGGTTCTCCTATTGCAGGATATGTGGATGTAATTTTCTTTCTGTTCTTTTTTTTTTTGACTATATCATCTTTAGTGTTAGTGTTTATTTACAGACATTTAATTGATTTGCAAAATTTTATATCCTTTAACTCAGCGAGTGATGCCCTTGGTACTCAAAGAACTAGTGTCATCTGAGGCTACAAACAGAAGAAATGCTGCTTTTGTGTTGGAGAGTTATGCAAAAATGGTGGTGATTTAGCTGTGAAGTATCCTTTTCCATGTCGTCTATTGGGTTGAAATATGGTTTTATTTTTCTTCCATTCCCTAATTTACTAGGGCTCTAGGTTAGTTTAGTTTATCAAAGCACAATTTATACAATTAACTGCATCAACTAATATTAGTGAAGTGCTGTTGAGTGTTGGCTGCTTTTTGGTTCGAATCTTTTGTTTTTGTAAATCATTCATTCATCTTGGTCTATGACAGAGCTCATGATTTCACTAAGACCTACAGGAGGATGTCAGAGAAGAAGAATAACCTAAGCAGAAATGTTTTGAGCGGTCCAGATGCTTATCCTTGGGTTACTGGCCATAAGGAATAGTAATTCATGATCTTGTGATATGATTAGAAATCTTTTTGGGCAGTAGGAGCTATGTAAGCCATGCTGTGAGTATTAGTATTCTTTTGTCCTTTTTTTTAGGGGGGGGGGGTTAGGAATGTCATCTGTGTAAGGAGTGTGTGAGGAGAGATTGGCCTCTCAGAATGCCAGAGGATGTGAGACCATTGTGAGGTGTGTTTTGAGTCCTGTAAGTGTGTGTTAACTGGTTCTGAAGTGATTACTAAGGGGAGATAGGGTTTTGGCCAGAATCACACTGATTTGGTTCTTTTGACTCGTTGATATCAAAACCTCAGAATTTTCCCCTCTTCATTTAATTTTGCTGCTGCATTTCTGCTCCTTTTCCTCTATTTCTGGTTTGGTTCTCATTACTCTAGCATTTCCTTTATCCAAGACTAGATACTATGACAATATATTGCGCGGCCTTCATCCCTTGTTTGGTGAATCTGAGCCGGATGATGCAGTGAGGGATAATGCAGCTGGTGCTGTGGCAAGGATGATAATGGTGCACCCTGAATCTATACCATTAAATCAGGTAACTTCCTTGCTTTTTTAATGTATACATGTGCCTTTCACTTTTCTATTTGAAGTCTTTCTTGTCTTGGGGAATCATATTCTGCTAAAAGCACATGATGGGCAAATCTTTCAATTGGTTTTTTATTAAAATGTCTTTTTGGAAACATTTGACAGGTTCTTCCTGTTTTCTTGAGAGTTCTTCCTTTGAAAGAAGATCATGAGGAGTCTATGGCGGTCTATAGTTGCGTCTCTACTCTTGTATTATCATCCAATCCTCAGGTAATCGCGTCTTTCAAGAATTTTTCTAATGTTTCCCTGCTTTATTGTTTTCCCAAAAGTAGTATTTTCCTTTATCTAATCTAACTCTATTCTATCCTAATTCCTATATGTAATTCAGATCCTCTCCCTAGTACCTGAGTTGGTTAACCTTTTTGCTCAAGTAGTGGCTTCGCCAGTTGAGACTTCTGAAGTCAAAACTTTAATAGGCAGAGCATTTTCTCATCTGATTTCTTTATACGGCCATCAAATGCAACCGCTTCTAAGCAATCTTCCACCTGCACATGCAAATGCATTATCAGATTTCTTCCCGAGGAGTTGACATGGCAAGACAATGACTCCCCCCCCACCAAGTTTTTCACTTGTTTTACTTACGTGGCATGTTTTTAAAGGAATGGTTTTTCTTATACGTATACTTCAAACTGAAGCTGTTCGGCCCCGTCAGAGAATATCATTACTTTTACGAGGTAATGTATGCATATGATTCTGTTGGGACTGTTACTTTCTTATTGTCATGAAGTAGTACCATAAGCAGATTTTTTTATTATAATGTGGTTGTTGCAAATTCACAACTTGACTATTGGATATTTTAGAAAATCAATGTTTTAAACTATTTCAGTAATACTTTTCCTTAAGTTCCAATATCACAGGTAGTTTTTTGCAAGGTAGTGAAAACTAGATTGGTAATTGAATTGGTTAAGGCATTAGTCTAAAGAGTTAATGATGAGACCTGTAATCGAATTGTAGTTAGGCTAGTCATGAGCAAAGTATTTCATTGAATCGGTTAAAACATTGGTTCATTGGTTTATAAGTTCAACTGACTGGGTTAACCCGGTTTTCAATACTATGATTTTCTAGTACCTGCCTGCCCTTTGAGAGTATTTTCCTTTTAAACAAGTACAGCAATCAGCTGACTGTTGATGGTTATTATTTGCTTGTCCTGCAGGTTATCGTTCTGCCTTGTAGCACCTTCTCGATTTTTATTGAGAGAAGCCTTTGTTTTTCCCCCTTTGGTTTAAATATTCCTTGTTATATTGTTTATTTTTCTAGTTAATATTTATTAATTCATCTTTCAAGATTATTCATTTTTATTGGTTTGTAGGGAGGGGGTGAGAGTTATGCCATTGCGATTTATGTTTCATTGGTCTAAAACTTTTTTCTCTCGAGTATAATAGTTGATGTAATGACTAATGCCCCAGTTTGGCGTCTACAATTTCTTTTTCTTTCTTTCTTTTTTTTAATGTATATCCTTAAGTGATAAATTAATTGAGACGAACTTCACGACATTGTTTATGCCAGACCTTTTGGGCTTTTTCTTTGGTAAATGAATCTGACATTTATTGAGATCATTTGTTTTATAATGAAAAGATGCAATTGATTTAATTTGCCACAAGTATAGCTTCGATAGAGTCCATGTGAAAAGGCGTACCTGCTGCAATGGTTTTTGATGAATATCGTTAGTGTTAATTGATAAATTTAGATTTAGATTTTAAATTTTAAATTTCACATTTCAAATCTACGTTTCCAATTTTATATTTAAATTTATATATTTAAAATTTTTTGTTTTGATGATTTGAAAAAAAAAATCAAATGAAGAACAGAGACGAATTGAGCATTGAAATGAAAAATAAAAAATAACAAATGATGAATTTATTTTTATTTTTAATTGATTAAAAGAAAATGTGAGAATAATTAATAATGAAGATGCAAAGAAAATGAGACATTTGCAATGTTTAAACTTGAGATGTTTAAAGAGATTAAAATTTCAAATGAACATGTTGAGGGAATTTAAAATTATAAAGAAATTATAATTTAAAATAGATTTGAATTTGAATTAAATTCATAAATTTATGTATTTTAATAAGGGATTTTGTTTAAATTCAAATCTAAATTTTTATTAATTTAAACACACTAAAAAACCCTGCAGCAACCTTGCTCCAATATAATTTTGCTTGCTATCGTGCTCCAATAACTCCTAATCTAGTAATGCAAAATATTATTTCTATTTGAGTAACATTTATTGACAGCCCAATATGATAAAAAAAAATATTATAGAAAATGTGAGCCAATGATACCAATTTTTTTCACATTTTTTAAGTCAGCCTTAATAAAAGTGATCTAGATAATGAAGCATAGTTCTAACAATTTGGACAAGCTTGAAAGCTCCAATTGTTAGGATAAAAAAAAAAAAAAAAGATTATAAGGCAAATGTCGCCTCACTTGATAAATGTTAACAGTTAAACAAGGTTCCTTGATCAAAAGTCAAAACTAGTGCTGATGTAACAAGCTCAATCAACCAATTCAAGAGACGATGTTGAATTTGTTAGCTATAATCGCACCAATTCAAGAGAAGGAATGAATCAAAAAGTTCCATCAATGCTCAAAATGAAGTCATCCATATGGTAGCAAGGGAGAAAGAGTGATCCGATTGTGGCTGGACGATGAAGTATGGCCGCGAGATGAAAGAAGGATGAAGATGTGATCGAAGCGTGAATCTGGAAGTGAACACATGGAAAGACGATGGAGATAAGGAAATTAAGTGGTTCGTGCCAATGTATTGATCGAAGCGTGAATGGCTGTCATGTGATTTATGAAAAATGAATTTGAATCTGCGCGAATGAATTGGAAAGAGGAATTGAACAAGGTTAACAAGTAAGAGATCGCGTGAATTCCGATTGTGCCAAATTGGCAATGTTTAATATTTTTGAAGGAATCTTGGCACATGTCCAAATTTGGTGTCTGCCTCAAACAAAATTATCCGGAGATATGTGTGAACAAAAAAAAAAAATATATTTGTGATGGAAGAAAATTATTTTTCAGATCTGAAAATTTTTGAAAAGAATGCTAAAAATAAATAGAGAAGAGATTAGGAAAAAGCCAACCAAGCAAAAAGGATTGAAATAAAAAGAAGAGAAAGTATGAGAAAAGGATTTTCTAACTTTGCTTCTTGCTTTCACTCTCTGTTTTTATTTTAATATCTCCTTTTTTTTTTTTTGACTAACGCGTTTGATATCCGAAGTCATTAACCTAGACTAATCCAAACTCGAGCATCATTGGCCACAAACAGGATGGCTCTTCCAAACATATTTTTTCCATTTCTATCGTCTCAAGAATCAAACCCAAGAGCTGATAGTTAAGGGATTCAAGCCCTTGCCATCTACGCCAACATTTGTGGATTTTTTAAATGTCTCCTTTGATGATCAATTGATGTATAATTTGCATATTTAATTTCAAGTCACTTACATACAAAATAATAAAATTATATGTAATGTTGGAATATTTATATAATATTATAGATTTGCATTAATTAAAAAGCCTAGAACAAATTGATCTTTATGAATTTTTATGAACCATAATAGATGGACCATATAAGTGAGCTTAATGGGTAAAGGTCTAACCTGCAACCTTGTAATAATCAATTATTTCCTATCTCTTAACTAACCGAGTCAAATATAATGAGAGATTAACCAATTAATTTAATTATTTAGGCGGTTATTAATATAGTCCATATAATAGGATTAGTCAATAACCAAAATACATGACTCTTTCCACTATCTAGGTACTCTATAAATTACGAGAGTCTAATAGGTTGTGAGTCTATCTACACTTAAAATGATTGAGAAGTCTAATCATGAATTTTTCAGGTACGCATGTTACTTTACTTGATCTTATTTGAGTTGTAAGTGTTGAGGATGATATTAGAACTTAGTTGCGTATATTATTTTGTAGTATCTCAATTCAATATGCTTATGCTCATACTAATTTAAATTTGCATGTTCAAATTTGATTAACAAGTTGTACATTAGATATTACATTCTTCAGTTTCTTACACTTCTTTTATGCTTGAATTTGAGAATGATGGTTTAAATCCCGTTACATTTGCGAAGAAACCTTGTCATGTGATCCCCCAGATTAGTTTGGCTAGGCCATATGAATCCATTACTCGAATCTCTATTTCGTTTCGTTTGTTTTTGACTCCACCACTGTCACTGGAGTCTTTGCCACATGAATATCCTTACTCACCATAAATGAGCTATGCTTTATAGAGTATATAAAAGTTTGAGATATTAATCTTTTGGAAACATTGTAAAAAAGAGGCAAAAAATGTTATTTCACAAAATTATAAGTTATTCGTACCGTCAATAATGCATTCAAAGTGGCGAACTACACTGAGGCTAATTTGATCTACATAGTAGTCAACATTTTAGCCGTAAATGGTGGGGTAATTTGTTTTGAATTTCAAAAGTAGGATCCAAGAAGCTACTAGTGCAATAGTTTAGGGTTTATAGTGCCAATTAAAAATGATGCATTAGCAAGAGATGTTGCCATATCAGTATTTTGACTGGACCCCACTGAGTGAACTATAATGGCATTAATGGTGAGTTAATAATGGGTTTTAATTTACTATGAATTTTAAAGTTTGAGATCTATTTTACACATTTTAAGAGTTTAAGATTTAAAGTGCTTTTTGCGCAATACTTAAGGTCCATTTTGCTTACTGACCCTTTTCAAAAAATTTATAAAAAATAATAAAATAATGAAAAATATTAAAAATTTTCACAGAAATTCACCGAAGGCAATTTTAGGAGATTTATATCTAAAATGGTATGTGAAGTTGTGGGGGTGAATGAATGGAATGAAACAGGTATGGGTACGAACGGAGCATATGAGAGTGTAGAGCAGAGAGTGATGAGTGAACTCGCAGAAGGACAGGTAGTCCATGGTATTCTTTCTGTGTCCTTTGCACTACACCATGGTGGAGCCTCTAGAGGAACTGACCGACGAGCAAAACCCACCCAAGTACAATCCTTACAGTTGGGGGCAAGTTTGCACTTACTAGGAAGAACATTAATTTCATGAAACTCCATGCTGAGAATCTCCAGATCCGCCATTTCAAGATTTAATTATTATTGATTGGTAATGTCAGCGTGCATCCATCCATCTTTACCATCTTTGTCTAAGAATTATATTATCAGATAAGTATTCAGTGTTGTTGATGAATTATTTGTAAAGTGTCAAGACCATTGTTGTTCAATGGCACTCCATATCCTCTTGAAAGGTGTGTGTGAGTGTAGTGAGTATGTGTTGCTCTTTCTTTTGGGTGAAGGTCATCATTTTCTATGGAGGAAGGCATAGATATATATGTAGGTGTGTATGATGGGCGTGTTTATATTTCATCCATTTAAAAAAAAATATGTTAAAAAAAAAATGAAGGCGTTTGTTTTGAGGAGGTTGGCTCTGTAACTTTGTTCTCATGTATACATGGCTACCGATCATTCATGCATGATATATAACAAAGCCCTGAAATCTGAATACAATAAACAACGAACTGCTTCTTAGTCTCCTTCCGTCGTTATTTTACTCCTTAAATATATTCATTTTTCTCTTTTATTAATGAACAGTATTTTGTTCTTGAAGAATTAATATTGTGAACTATACTAATACAACTTTATATAAGTTACTTTTAATATGTTTTATTAAAATCAAGAAAATTTTAAAAATTCATTGATTTTTCCTCAAAATTTAATAAGCTGTTGATTTTGAAGTGTAAAGCCAGAATATTGGAAAGTTAATAAACAAAATTCATTTGCTTTACGAATTGTTATATACAGTGCTATATTTATAGATGCAAGAGGTAGTGTAGCGTGTTACATGTGTGATAAAGAATAAGAACAAAAGATAAGAGACAAGACATGTAAGCCCTAAAATAGTAGACAATAATAGTGAGCTCAAATTATGTGACAGCATCAGGTTTAGTGGGCCGTGATTTAGTCTTCGTGGATTGGGCTTGAGTGCATGCTCCAACAGCCCCCCTCAAGTTAAGCGGTGGTGAACCAACAATGAGACTTGATTGTAAAAAGGTAAAGCATGGAGCATCCAGAGGCTTGGTAAATAAGTCAACTAATTGATCATTTGAAGAGACTATAGCAATGTTCAATGTCTTGGCAGCTACACGTTCTCGAACATAGTGATAATCTAATTCAATATGTTTTGTTCGAGCATGCATAACAGGATTTGTAGCTAGATAAGTGGCACTAATATTGTCACAGCATAGAGTAGGAGGATTAGGCAAAAAAATACCAAGTTCCAAGACTACACTAATCCTGATGCTGTCACAGTGTTTTGTTCTATATGTTTTGTTGGAGCATGCACTCAAGCCCAATCCATCAAGACTAAGTTACGGCCCACTAAACCTGATGCTGTGACATAGTTGGCAAGGATGATCAAATTGACTGAGTATAGGCAATGCCACGACCACCTCCAAAATAACCACGACCTCAGCTAA